ATACGTATACTCTTTTCTTAACCCTCCTTTCCCTTCATACACATACCACATACACAGAAATATACTGAAAACTATACGCATGCACAGGCTTTACTCCTAATACACATGCATAGGCTTTACTCCTAATCCCCCTCTCTCCATACCCTTACTCCACACACCTACACATACACATGCGTAAGTTCTTCCTTTAATCCTCTCCATTCCCTACCTACACACACACCAAATACACATACATACACAGTGTCTTCATACACATACATACACATGTACAGGCTCTTCTAATCCTCCTCTCTCTATATACATACTAAATACACATAAATACGCATACACATAAGCAAGCTCTTCTCTTGATTCTCCTCCATACATACTGCATACACACATATTCTGAACACACATTACATAGGCTGTCCTCTTAATCCTCCTTTCTCTACATATACATATACATAAATGCACATATATGCATGCGTATATCTAGATCCTCCTTTCTCTCCATTCACATAATACATATACACATATACACTAAACACAAATACATACACAATTTCTCCATAGACAGATACATAGATCCGTCCTTTAATCCTCCTCTCTCTCCATTCATGTACTATATACACACATATATACTAAATACAAATGCATACACATCCCTCTACAGACATACACATATATATAGACACAGGCTCTTCTCTTGATCCTCCTCTCTCTCCATTCACATACAATATACACACATGTATATTACACTAAACATAGACACATATACTATTTCTCCATAGACATACATTTATATACACATACATAGGCTCTCCTCTTAACCCTCCTTTCTCTCCATACACACGTATTTAAATATACATACACATACGCATACACATACATATAGATGCATAGGCCCTTCCCATAATCCTTTCTCTCTATTCACATGCTACATATACACACATACACTAAATATACATACATACACAATCCCTCCATACACATACCCGTCTCTTAATCTTCCTTTTTCTCTAGACATATACATATAGATGCATAGGCTCTTCTCTTGATCCTCCTCTCTATATTCATATCCCATACACATGTATAAAATACACATAGATATACAATATCTCCATAGACCTATACCTAAATATATGTACACACATGCATGCATATACATGTCCTTCTCTGGATCCTCCTCTCTCTCCCTTCACATACTACATAGGCACATATATATACTAAATACTCAGACCTACACAATCCCCTCCATAGACATACACATAGATACAAATATAAAGGCCCTTAGTTTAATCCTCTTCTCTCTATTTACATACTACATTTACACACACTCTCACACACACATAAAATACACATACCTTACACAATCGACTTTCTCACCATTCATCTACTATATACTAAATACACGTACATACACAATCTTTCTATAGACATACACTTAGATACACACACAGGGGTTATTGTCTTAATCTTCCTTTCTCTTTATTCACATACTCACATACTACATATACACAATCTTTCCATAGATACACACCTAAATATACATACACATAAATACACACATGCATACATATATAGATTCATAGTCCCTTCTCTAGATCCTCTCCCTCCCTCACATACTAAATACACACATGGATACTAAATACACAGACCTACACAATTTCTCCACCGACATACACATAAATACACATGCAGGGTTATTTTCTTAATCCTCCTTTATCTCTATCCATATACTACATACGCACACATATACAATCATAGACACACACCTAAATATACATGCACATATGCATACATATAGATATTGCTGCATAGTCCTCATAGTTCTCTAGATCCTCTCCCTCACATACTACATACACACATGTATACTATATACACAGGCCTAAACAATCTCTCCATAGACATACACATACATAGGCCCAGGGATTCCTCTCTTAATCCTCCTTTCTCTTTATTCATATACTACATACACACATAAATACTAAAAACACATATATATATAATCTCTCAACAGACATTCACTCAAACATATATACACATATGAATACATATATAGTTGCATAGTCCCTTCTCTAGATCCTCTCCCTCATATACTACATACACACATGTATACTAAACAAACATGCCTACACAATCTCTCAATAGACATACACATACATACTGATACATAGGCCCAGGGGTTTCTCTCTTAATTCTCCTTTCTCTTTATTCATATACTACATATGCACATAAATACTAAACATACATTTATACGCAATCTCCTCAAAGACATACACTTAAATACATAAACAGGGGTTCCTGTCTTAAGCCTGTCTCTTTATTCACGTGCTACATACGCACGTAAATACTAAATTCACATATATACACAATGTCTCTATAGACAATACACATACAGGTCTTCTCTTAATCCTCCTTTCTCTTTATTCATTTACTACATATATACTAAACACACACACACACAATCTCTCCACAGACACACATCTACATGTACATACACATATGCATACATATAGATACAGATACATGGTCCCTTCTCTAGATTCCCTCCCTCACATACTACATACTCACATGTATACTAAATATACACACGCTTACACAATCTTTCCATAGACATACACATACATAGGCCCAGGGGTTCATCTCTTAATCCTTCCTCTTTATTCACATGCTACACTTGCACATAAATACTAAATACACATATATACACAATCTCTCCATAGACAATACACTTAAATACACATACAGGAGGTCTTCTCTTAATTCCCCTTTCTCTTTCTTTAATCATATACTACATATGCACATAAATACTAAATACACATATATACACGATCTACTCAAAAACATACACTTAAATACATAAATCGGGGTTCCAATCTTAATCCTTTTTCTTTATTCACATGCTACATACGCACATAAATACTAAATACACATATATGCACGATCTACTCAAAGAGATACACTTAAATACATATACAGGGGTTCCAGTCTTAATCTTTTCCCTTTATTCACACGCTACATGTACACATGAATACTAAATATACATATATACACAACCTCTCTATAGACAATACACTTAAATACACACACAGGAGTTCTTCTCTTAATCCTCCTTTCTCTTTATTCACTTACTACATACACACAAATATACTACACACACACACAATCTCTACACAGACACACACCTAAATATACATACACATAAACACACACATGCATACATACAGATATAGATAGAGACATGGTCCATTTTCTAGATTCTCTCCCTCACATACTACATGCTCACATGTATACTAAATATATACATGCCTACACAATCTCTCCATAGACATACACAAACATAGGCCCAGGGGTTCCTCTCTTCATCCTCCTTTCTCTTTATTCATATACTACATAAGTACATAAATTGGGGTTCCAATCTTAATCTTTTCTCTTTGTTCACATGCTACATACACACATAAATACTAAATACACACATATACACGATCTACCCAAAAGACATACACTTAAATACATATACAGGGTTCCAGTCTTAATCCTTTCTCTTTATTCACATACTACATATGCACATAAATACTAAATACACATATATACACGATCTACTCAAAMACATACACTTAAATACATAAATTGGGTCCCTATCTTAATCCTTTCTCTTTATTCACATGCTACATATGCACATAAATACTAAATACACATATATACACAATCTACTCAAAGACATACACTTAAATACGTACACAGGGGTTCCAGTCTTAATATTTTTCCTTATTCACATGCGACYTATGCACATAAATACTAAATATACATATATGCACGATCTACTCAAAGAGATACATTTAAATACATATACGGGGGTTTCAGTCTTAATCTTTTCTCTTTATTCACATACTACATAACTACATAAATACTAAATACACATATATACACAATCTACTCAAAGACATACACTTAAATACATAAATTGGGGTCCCTATCTTAATCCTTTCTCTTTATTCACATGCTACATATGCACATAAATACTAAATACACATATATACACAATCTACTCAAAAGACATACACTTAAATACATATATGGGGGTTCCAGTCTTAATCCTTTCTCTTTATTCACATGCTACATGTACACATAAATACTAAATACACTAAATACTAAATACACATACATACACAATCTCTCCATAGACAATACATTTAAATACACACATAAATACTAAATACACATATACACACAATCTCTCCATAGACAATACATTTAAATACACACACAAGAGTGTGAATTTGCTGTATTATTTCACTCTGTTATTGTAATTTATTTTTTGATGCATTTTCGTTTTGTATTCTGTATTTTGTACTGTGTTGCATTGTATTTTGAAGGGCCTGGCTGGCCTCCCCGAAATGGTGGCGGGGTATAAAGTTTTATTATTATTATTATTATTATTATTATTATTATTATTATTATTATCTTCTCTTAATCCTCCTTTACCTTTATTCACTTACTACATACACACATATATACTAAACACACACACATATATATACACAATCTCTCCACAGACACACACCTAAATATACATAGACATAGATATAGATCAGGCCTGGGCCAACTTGGGCCCTCCAGGTGTTTTGGACTCCAACTCCCACAATTCCTAACAGCCTGCCGGCTGTTAGGAATTGTGGGAGTTGGAGTCCAAAACACCTGGAGGGCCCAAGTTGGCCCATGCCTGATATAGATACATGATTCTCTCCCTCACATACTACATACTCACATGTATACTAAATATAGACATGCCTTCATAGACAATACACTGAAATCCACATGCAGGGGTTCTTCTCTCAATCCTCCTTTCTCCCTATTCACTTACTACATACATAAATACTAAATAAGCAGACCTACACCATCTCCCCATAGACACACACCTACACAGAGAGGCAGAGGCTCTTCTCTTGAGCCTCTCCAGGCGCATAGGTCTTAACTATAGACACACACACACATATACAATCCCTCCATAGACATACCAGAGAAAGGCGCCCATTCTCTCGGCCTTGCCTTGCCTCCTCGTCGTCGTCGTCCCGCTCTGCAAGGGGTCTCTCCTCCTCGGCCTCGCCTTCTTCTTCTTCCCTTCCTCCTCCTCCCCCGCAGCCAGCCAGCCAGCCAGGCCTCGGGGAAGGGAGGAAGGAAGGAAGGAAGGAAAGGAGGAAGGAAGAAGGAAGAAGGCCTGAGAGGGAAGGAGGAAGGGGAAGAGAGTCCCTCCCACAGAAGGCGCCTGGGAAGCGTAGTCCTCAATGGCGCCTGTGTGTGTGTGAGAGAGAGAGAGAGAGAGCAGGCCTCTCCTTGTGTTGTATAGGCATGAATACTACCTGTCCTTGTTCAGTTATTGTAGGGAAAATAGCTTAGTCCTTATATTGACTGAGGCTGGATCTACACTGTCTATAATGACACATTATGTGGTCAGTGTAGATGAGGGATGTCAAGCTCATTTTGTAAGGGCAAACTTCAGCCCTCCAAGTATTTTGAACTTCAAAACACATGGAGGGCTGTATTTAGTATGTGAATGGAGGCAAAGGAGGATCTAGAGAAGGAACTATGCATCTATATGTGTGTGTGTATATATATATACACACACACACACATACCTGGCTGTTCCAATGTGCCTTTTCAGATTAGGAATTCTCCCAGTACCAAATCCCAGAAGCACTTTAGTACCAAAATCACCGCACACTGCACACCGCACTTATATCATAATCCCACAGCCCTCCGACACATCAGCACTTTTAACCTTGTACCCCTACTTCGGTCGACTCAGTTTTTAATAATGTCTTGTCGTATTGCCATTGTTATTGTTTTTCTGCTTAACTGTTTTTATTTGCTAGATGTTGTATTGTTGTATTGTGTTGGGCTTCGGCCTATTGTAAGCCGCATCGAATCCTTCGGGAGATGCTAGCGGGGTACAAATAAAGTTATAATATAATAATATAATACACACACACACACACAGAGGCGGCCCTAGGTAATTTTCAACAGTAAGCAAACAGTATTTTGCCCCCCCCCCCCCAACCAATCACTGATATATATATATTTTGTTCGTCGTGGGAGTTCTGTGTGCCATATTTGGTTCAATTCCATCATTGGTGGAGTTCAGAATGCTCTTTGATTGTAGGTGAACTATACATCCCAGTAACTACACTTGCCGCACTTGCTCCCTTGCCTGGCCCGCTTTGGGTCCGGAGGCGTGCCTGAAGACCCCGGCATGTGCACCAAAAGTCACCTCTTCTCCTGACTTTCTCCTCAGCCATTGGGACCAAGAGAGAGAGAGAGAGAGAGGTGGAGATGCCCACCTTTCCTGAAGGTAGGCGCAAAAACAAAGGAGGGAGCGGAGGTGGGAGATACCTCCAGCCGGAGGGGCTCTCTCTCTCTTTTGGTCCCAATGGCTGAAGAGAAAGTCAGGAGAAGAGGCGACTTTTGGTGCGCACGCTGGGGTCTTCAGACACACCTCCAGACCCAAAGCGGGCCAGGCGCGGCAGCTCCGCCCATTGGCCCACCCATGGATTGGGGAGAGGAGAGGAGGCAGGTTGGGCACCGGGGGATCGGGAAATGGAGCCGGTCATGGGGAAGGGATCGAACGCGGAGAACGATTGAGCGCCGGCTCTGCTTGCGCACCCGGTGGCCGGGTGGAGCAGAAACGAGAGGGGCTAGGCAAGGCTCAAGGGCCCAGCCCCTTTGGGAAGAGGATTGCCCGGCAGCAAGGCTCCCCCTGGACTGCTAGGGCTGTTGTGAGCTGAGGGGGCGCTCCTCAAGTGGCAGTCGAGGGGCATTTACAGAGGCGCCTCTGCACCCCTGGCAAAAAAAGTGCTCTGCGACCGCTTACTTCGCATAATGGATGAGCCGCCCCTGCCTCCAGGTATTTTGGACTTCAAAACACCTGGAGGGCTAGGTTCTTGTGGGTTTTTTCAGGCTATAGGGCCATGTTCTAGAGGCATTTTCTCCTGACGTTTCGGCTGCATCTATGGCAAGCATCCTCAGAGGTAGTGAGGTCTGTTGGAAATAGGAAAATGGGTTTATATATCTGTGGAATGACTGGGGTGAGGCAAAGAGCTCTTCTCTGCTGGAGCTAGGTGTTAATGTTTTAACTGCCCACCTTCATTAGCATTGAAAGGCTTGGCTGAGCCTGGGGGAATCTTTTGTTGAGAGGTGTTAAGATGTGCCTGGTTGTTTCCTCTCTGCTGTTTGCTGTTGTAATTTTAGAGTTTTTTAATACTGGTAGCCAGATTTTGTTCATTTTCATGGTTTCTTCCTTTCTGTTGAAATTTTCCACATGCTTGTGGATTTCAATGGCTTCTCTGTGTAGTCTGACATGGTGGTTGTTGGAGTGATCCAGCATTTCTGTGTTCTCAAATAATAAGCTGTGTCCAGGTTGGTTCATCAGGTGCTCTGCTATGGCTGATTTCTCTGGTTGGAGTAGTCTGCAGTGCCTATCATGTTCCTTGCTTCATGTTTGGGCAATGCTGCATTTGGTGGTCCCTATGTAGACTTGTCCACAGCTGCATGGTATACGGTAGACTCCTGCAGAGGTGAGAGGATCCCTCTTGTCCTTTGCTGAACGTAGCATTTGTTGGATTTTCTTGGTGGGTCTGTAGATTGTTTGTATGTTGTGTTTCCTCATCAGCTTCCCTATGCGGTCAGTGGTTCCCTTGATGTATGGCAGGAACACTTTTCCTCTGGGTGGATCTTCATCTTTACTCTCGTGGCTTGTTCTTTGTCTTGCAGTTCTTCTGATGTCTGAGGTGGAGTATCCATTGGCCTGTAGAGCCCAGTTGAGGTGGTTCAGTTCATCTTGGAGGGCTGTATTTAGTATGTGAATGGAGAGAAAGGAGGATCTAGAGAAGGGACTATGCATCTATATGTGTGTGTGTATATGTGTGTGTGTGTGTATGCATCTATATGTATATCTATATAAATAAAAATGTAATGTTAGTTCATGCTACCATCAGAACTCAAAAACCACTGGGGGAATTGACACCAAATTTGGACACAAGACACCTAACAGTGCAATTTATGTCCTCTACTCAAAAAATTGATTTTGTCATTTGGGAATTGTCGTTGCTGGGATTTATAGTTTACCTACAATCAAAGAGCATTCTGAACTCCACCAATGATGGAATTCAACCAAACATGAGATTGTTTACTATTGTGCTATTGTGTTATGTATTGATGTTTTTAATCTGTAAATTGTTTAATTGTTTTAATTGTTTGATGTATGTATGTATTTGGACATGGGCATCGAATTGTGCCTTCTTTTGTAAGCCGCCCTGAGTCCCCCCTCAGGGGTGAGAAGGGCGGGGTATAAGTAGCTAAAATAAATAAATAAATAAATAAACATGGCATACAGGACTTCC